ACTTAGCAGAAATAAGACGTCCACCCTGCCTTGTTGCATAGCTGTTCTGTTGGGATTTTTAACATACTTCAACTGAGAAAATGAATGCTCAGATGAGCAATTTGTGACCATTAATGTTAAAAACCCAGCAATGGGAAATTTCTGTGGTGCCCCTCTTCCCTTGATGCCCTAAGCACGGGCTTAATGGTTAATGCAGCCCTGCCACTCATCCATGGTAATTAAATGCATAACAACATCTCAAGCAAGCAAAGCAAAAATTAGTTTATTTTCAACTTTGAAGTAAGTCCATTTGCTGTTATACCGATGGTGTACTAAAGCAGGGGAACATAGCACACAATTGTAAATAGTTATCAGATGCAGTTTCCCGCAATTTTAAAGAAAGAGGAACAAGCAGGATATTTGCATGGTCCAAAAAACTTCATTGTTTGTGTGTACGTAGCTATCACACTAATGAGTTGCTGGGGGGTGGGGAGTGATCAGAGAGCAGGTGCACCAAATCCTGCGGCTCTAAAAACCTCGTAAAACCATTTTGGAGCCCATCTGTGAGCAAACATTGCTTTTTGAGGTAGTTTACAGCAATCCATTCATTATGATAATAGCTACAGCTGACCCACTTTACAGTATATCTGCCTCAAATGTGTTAGGGTGAACGTAAAGCTGTTTCCTGATCTTCTAAAGCTGCATGTCAAACAGCCTCAGGGCAGTTTTACCGAAAGCTGATCAGAGGGAAGATGCAGTGCCCATATCGCTTGCAAAAATTGGTCATTAGGCAATGTTTTCGTGGGCTGAAGCAAAGCTGTAGCAAAAGACCCATCCTACTCCCAAAACTGGATTATCATTATTATTATTATAATCCCATATATCTTTTAGCATGCAAAGTGAATTTCTACCTTACCTATTTATTCCCATCATTACCTTCTTCCAAGTCTATGAATAGGAATCTGAGACTAAGAGGTATTACAGAGGTATTACATGTTTGCAGTGAGTTCGACTAGACCTGATCTGCTGTCCTAGTTCCACCTGGCTGGGAGGGCTCGGCCCTTATGATCTTACTTGTTAGTCCTAAAAGGCCTGTTTCCCAGGATACCCAGAGACAACTGAGGTATTATTTATAAGTTTTTGTTGGGGGTCAAAATTAAACTTTAGGAATGCTTAATTTTTGTTGCATGTGGACGTCCCCAAGCCACCCCTCAAATAATTCACAAATCACACGTAATTTTAGTTTAAGGTTTTTGGCACTATTTTGGCCACAACTTTATTAAAATACAAAATTTGTGAGTGGTTGCTTAGGCATTGGTTATGACTATCTGTCCCCCCCGCCTGGGACAGAACTGACATTCCGAACTTCATCGGAAGCCAGTGAAGGGAAAACAATGATGGGGATCAGTTGAGCTGAGCGACAGTCCCTCACCGCTCACCCAACCAGCTCCCCAAGGCTTGCTGGTCCCATTTCAGGGATTGGACAAAATCGTGGCAAGCCCCAGGATTCCTTTCACAGAATTCCCTTCCAACACCACTGGAGGGGCAGGCACAGCCTATCCTGACCCCTCCACCACCAATTTTTATAACCAATGCCTAACCGCAACCTTACAAGTTGTGACAAATTGCTAAGTAGTAGGCAAAAATCAAATGGCACCAGCCAATCAGCCAAATGGACAAAATTCCTACTAGGCCCCTGCCCCAACGGCAGACGACCCCATGACGGCATAGCAAGGTCAACCGGAACACAGGGCGGGCGGGCAGGTGATCCGATGCACTCTGCGAAAGAGAAAGCAAAAGCAGTGTGCCCCAATATTTAACGCCTATGGTCCCACCCACCCAATTTGCTACATGCAATTTGGCCCAGTGACCCGGGCAGCCAATTGTTGTGCCAGGCAATAACCATTAACCTGCCTGGCAACAGAGGGCTGGCCCGGCGGCCCCCACCACAACCCGTGCTCTCATTTTAGGGAGAACACGCTTTCTTGCACTTCGAGGCCCCCAGGATCCCCCCCTTGAAATAACTTCACACTGACACTTATTTTAGTTTAAATTTTGGCCACAACTTTATTTAATACAACCATGTGAGTGATATTGGCTTAGGCATTGGCTCCAAATGAAAACTGACTCCACCTTTCTGTTTGGTAGTCTAAAAGGGAAAACCAAACCAGGGAGCAACATTGGTGAAGATCGATTGAAGCTCAGTCCAGTGTTCCTGTGGTCCTGGCATGGCCCTAGCCCCTCAAGCGAACTTCGGATGAGATCCAGGACCCCCAGATTCCTTTACACCTGGAGGGGCAGGTGATGGCCGCACCTCCCCCCCCCCCACATTTCAATGAGCCAATGCATAACCGCCAGTTTAAAAGTTGTGACGATTGCTGAGGGGGTAGGCAAGAACCAAGTGGCTAAAGCCAATCTGCCAAATGGAAAAATTCCTACCCAGCCCCTGTTCCAAAACAGGTAACCCAAACCAAAGCAAGGCCAAAGCAACACTGCCTAACACAAGGGAGGGTGCGTGGGTGTTTGACAGTGCGAAGTGAGTGCCCCCAATTATGTCGTGCTGCCATTCTTAACAGCCCCTGGGATCACTCCACCCGCAGACGATTAGCCCCAGACAGCTTGGTGTGATCCCAGGGCTAAGGCTAGGGCTTGGGTTACACCCTTCCCTCTAAATTAACCCTTGGTGTGCCCTGAGTGCCCGTGCGCAACCAGGACCCGCAATTATGAGGATCCCATTTATAAGTGTCATGGAATTCTACTCAGTATTGATCCAGAGTAGATTCCAATGTATAGTTAGCAGAGTAAAAACTTAAAACATGTTGCAGGGTTCCCAAAAGAACAGACCAGAGGCAATTATATTTCATTCAGCAGAGCTTTACTGCTGCTGAAGGCAAATGAGCATAATGGTCACAAATACAATACATTCAGGAGTGAAATCCAGTTTCAGCAGACTTAACTTAAACTTACAATAACTTATAATTAGTCTAAATCTTAACACTAAGCATAATATGTACAGAACACCACACCAGAAGGAAAAAAGATAGAAAGTGAAAGTGAAACCTAGGCTCCTTCTGGCCTCTTATTATAGTCAGCATGACCTTGACAGAAAAGATAACAGAACCAGTTTAAACCAGCTGTACTCAGCTTCTCTGAAGGTATAACCCAAACATCATGAACCTTCCTGTTGTTCTCTTTTTTATTAATAATTTATTTACAACATACTCCACAACAACTCATACATACAAACAAACCCACCACCATTGACAATTTAATTATCAAAATTAAACTCCTATCCCATTGCACAAAGAAAACATAGCATAAAAATAAAAGACTTCCTTTATCCTGTAAATGGCCTCCTTTTATACGTGATTATTACAATTTTTGCTAATTATGACTTTAAAAAACCTCAAAGTCTCCTGTAGAAATTAATCGAAACAAGTCCAGGTGTATATTTTGGGGCAATGTTTGGTAAAGTATTCTCTGCATTTCCCCCATTCTTTTTGAAATTCTTGTCTTGTCCAGAAGCTTCCAGAACCCTCTTGAATGAATTAGAATAGGAAAGACACATCAGATCAATACTTTCTGTACTTAGAATGCAAACTGACCAAAAAAAAAAATTATCTTTATTATTAGAGCTAATTATGAATTATGTAGGGATTCTTTATTCTATTCCCACTGACATGTTTTCATTCATTCTCTATGACTGGTTAAATTTTGTTATGTTTCTGTAATTAGGCAAATCTTTTTTTGTAAACTGGAAAGGTGGCATGCAAATAAACAATGCGGAATAGCAGATTACCCAAGCCTTTCATGGTTAAGTAGAGATTTGATTCCAAATTTCTCACAGCCAAAACAAGACTCTAGGACTATGCTATTGAATGAACCAACTGGTGAGTGTGTGGTGTGTTTATGCCCTGAGAGTCCCATTGATATTTTACATTGACCTACCACTAGAAATTGGTTTACTAAAGTCTTTCTATATTGTATAGAATAGTGCTATGCTGAACCCCTAGATGTGTGTCAGTTGATGTGTAGGAGTTCCTTGCAGATTTCTGTCATCAATGTGTTGTCGTATTCTGGTGTCGTTCTCTTCCTGATGGCAACTGAGTGGGATGAGGAGTACAACCTCGCTCCTACTTACTTCAGCTGATGATTGCCTGGTATGTGTCAATTGCTGAGAATATATATATGTGTGTGTTGGGTTGAAATCACGACAGACGAGTGGTAGGTGTCATATGAGAGGCGTCTGCCGGGGCAAGCCCCGGGAACTCTCTTTTATTGAATATTACAAACATTGCCACAGGTGTGCTTGTGGCTGATTGGTTGATACAAACACAAAGCATCTTGTTGCTGATTGGTTAACATAGGTACAAGGCGGGAATTACATATAACTATCTATCACTGATAGATCAAAGGCTGAGAAACGGAGCTGGAACTAGACAGGCATGAAACCTCCTAATTAAATTATAACTAAAGATTGATATTGAAAGAACATAACATGAAAGAATACAACAATCACGTTCCGTAGATGTGGTCAGCAATGCATTAAGAACAGGTCAGGATACACTGTTTCATGAACTCAATGGGAACTGTTCAGAACATTCTCAGACTCCTGTGCAGAAGCAGAGAAAAGATTATGAGCGAGACTTCCCAGAATGCAAGAGAAAAGAAGCAATAGTTCTCATAGTCCCATAATGCCACAGTTATGTGCAGTAAGAGAACTGCAGAAAGAAAACTTCCCTTCATCTATGCCTCTGGTTAGCTGACTCTTGTTTCTTTTACTCAGGTATAAATCTCCATGTGCAACTATTTAACCATATTACATGTTCTGTTAGCCATGTTTACAGAAACCAGGAAATACCAATTTGAACATGATGAAGAGAGAGAGAGAGAGAGAGAGAGAGAGAGAGAGAGAGAGAACAAAGATGTACTGTTCTTAGAAGCATAGAATTGAAGAGTTGGAAGGGAGCACAACAGTCATCTAGCCCAACCCCCTGCAATGCAGGGTTTTTTATTTTTTTTGCCCAATGCAAGCCTTGAAGCCACAGCCCTGAGATTAACAGTCTCACGCCCTACCGACTCTGCTATCCTAGGCCTTATTGGTTAACTCAAAAAATAAATTACTGTAATAGGGGGAAAGTACCACAACACCTACCTCTTACCAGGCATGGCCAAACTTGGCCCTCCAGCTGTTTTGGGACTACAGTTCCCATCATCCCTGGCCACTGGTACTGTTGGCTATGGATGATGGGAGTTGTAGTCCCAAAACATCTGGAGGGCCGAGTTTGGCCATGCCTGTGATTTAAACCAACAAAGATACTGTTCTGTTTTGAAGGCTTACCTTTCTTTAGTGTGGTAATTTATAATGCTTCTGAAAAAATCAACAAGATGAAGAACTAATCAATGACATTATCCCACTTTATATTCATAAGTAGCTGGTGCAGTTGAGTAGGCTGAAAGAATGACTAGTCCAAGGCCAACAGGTTAGTTTTGTTACCTGAACTCAGGATTTACTATTGTTGTGCTCCACTATGCTGGCATGAATGAGAGATGTGTGCCAATTTAAAGACAACGGCAGTGCAATCTTATACCTCTGTTAGGTAAGTGACTACAGAACTGAAGCCTACGGGTGCAATCCTATACCGACTTACCTGGATTTTTGTGAAGGAGGAGAAGTGGATGTTTGTGTGCTGCAACTTTCAACACATGTATGTTACTGGAACTGCAGTGTTGATCTAGGACAGGGGTGTCCAGCGTCCAAGAAATTGCAATCTACTCCCACTATAAATCAACTGGCAGGGATCTACCCATTGGCTTGACCAAAGTTGTTGAGCTTCTTCAAGGGAGCCAAAGTTGTTGAGCTGAGGGACCAAAGATCAACCAGGATCGACCAGGGACACCCTGCAATTGACCAGTAGATCGCAATTGACCTGTTGGACAGGCCTGGTCCAGGAGATCTCTAGGTCTTAGAGATGCATGGTGGTTTTGCATCCCTCTTTTCGTTAGGTTTAGAAATGCTTTTTGTGTGTGTGTTTGGTTGGTTGGCTACTGCAAGAATAGGATACTGAACTAGATGGGCCTTTGGGCTGATCCAGCATGCTTTCCTAATGTGGCGATCATCCAATGTCTTGCTAATAAAAAGGATAGCTGATGTGGAATCACCTTATTAAGTAACAAACAGAGGTTCCTCATTGGGTGAGGCTGGTGCACTCTGTACATGCTCAAACCATTGTGTTCTGAGGCTAATAGTTCCTGTTCTTGCTCTCTGTGGTTTGCAAGAAGTTGGTGCTGATAGTTAAACTCATTAGGCTGCATCACACTTCGATAAGAAAGAATCCTGTCTGTACATTTTCCGCCTCAGGAAGCCAGTTGGCAAAAGCCTCCTTGTCTTTATATCTTTTAAAAAAACAAGCACACCAGGATCTGCAGACTTAACTCTTCCACCAGTGTTCTCAAGAGCACTTTGCAAATGGAAGGAAGGAAGATATTTTTTCCCCCTTTTGCACCTGCTTCTTCCTACACAGTGGCAACCCATCCTCACAAGCTTACTGCCCTTGAGTAGTAAGAAGCTTTGTTCCACAGTAGGCAGCAAGGACTAATATAATCAAAGAGGCTTCACAATGTATTTGTTCCAAAAGTACCTGCATAAGCAGATATGGACAAGATACAAAATCCCACATTCAATTTCTTAATGTGGAATTTTGCGTTGAAAAACACTGAGTATCCGAATAGCATTTTTTTAAATAAAAAAAATTATTAGTTTTCATTCTTAACAATTATCATCATACTTAAATCATAATCATTTTACAAATAGGATTCTCAGAATCCCAAGACTTCCCCCCCCCTCCATGGTTTCCCTAAATATTCTTTTCAGACTGCATTGTATCATATTCTCCATATTTTCTTAAAACTAAATTATAACCATAATTCTTGCTTCATTGCAAGTTTTTTTTAGGTTTTTTTTTACAATCCTGCCAATGTTTTTAATTGTTTCAAGCAACTTATAAAATTTCCCCATTCTTTAATAAATTTATTGTCTTCTTGATTTTCCCGGACGTTTTTGCCATTTCGGCATAGTCCATCATCTTTATCAACCATTCTTCTTTTGTAGGTAATTTATCCTCCTTCCATCTTTGGGCAAGTAGTATCCATGCTGCTGTTGTAGCATACATAAATAATCTCTTCTGATCCACTGGTATTTCTGGACCTTTAATTCCTAGTAAGAAAGCTTCAGGGTTTTTCCCCCCACAAAAGTAATTTTAAACCTAATAGCCATTATTGTTAGGTAACAATTAAATGGAATAATGCACATTCTCAAGAGATATGCATTGTTTTGGAAAAAAAAAAGTGATGGAAAATATTACATAAAAAGAAGACTGGGGATGATGTCCCAATTTTGACATGCTGGAACAATTGATGTCCTTGTGATAATCTTATTTTGCATGCCACCTTGTCTGTGCTAGTAACCAAAGCTCACACTTTAGAGAGACATTGGAAAAGAGAGTTCTAGCACCAAAGGGGTGGGGAGGTAAATAGTTCTACATGTGTGCTCATGCCAGTTAGCTGTAGAGTCCATGTAGTCTATAAATGCCCAAAGAGTCCCATTTCTGTCCCCTTCCCCTTCACAGTTAGGCCTGACCTTTCCCTCTACAGCTCCACCCCTGACATTTCCAGGAAGGGTTGGGCAAGACCTGCTAGTAAAGGGATAGACCAAGCATGGGCAAACTTGTCCCTCCAGATGTTTTGGGACTACAATTCCCATTATCCCTGACCACTGGTCCTGTTAGCTAGGGATGATGGGAGTTGTAGTCCCAAAACATCTGGAGGGCTGAGTTTACCCATGCCTGGAATAGACTGTGCAAACCTTACCCTGCAAGGCTAATGGCCTGATTCAGTGTTCCTGCGACTCCTATAACTACATGTTTAATTTTGATTGCATTGTTTCCATTCCATTGCTGCCCATGTGTGAGGTGGGGGAGGCATCTGTTTCTGAGCAGCAGTTTTGAGACATCTGGATTTGAAAAGTCTTCAGTGTTCTTAAATCAGTGACCAATGACCTGCAAGGGAAGTAGGGATACCTAAAAGTGACTTCTGTGTAGTCATGTATTGTTCTATACATGCTCAACACTTCTGGTAGTCAACTGTGCTTTCTAAAAAGAAACAGCACATGTTTTATGGAAACTGTGCAAGTTCATTAGAATGGCTCCATTTTCTTGCTTCTCATGGTGTTGGAATAACAGTTCCATAATTTCCAGCAGATTATTTTGCAGCAGATTAATTATTCATAATGCCGGCATTAGCCGGAAATTTAAGAGTGATTAGCTGTGGCGCAAAGGGAGAAATATCACTGCCTGGTTCAACAGAGTGGGACTGTCTGAGAAACTTGTGGAAATCCTAATGTGAAATAGGGATTACATGCATATTGAAGATTGCACAAAATTTGCACCATATGCCCATTAAAACCATCTCAACTCATCCCCAAAGCCTAATTGCCTAAATTTGCCATGCTTCCTATCCCATATCCGTATGTTAATCTAAAATTATAGGAAGGACACATCTGTTGGTTTCTCTTTCCCCCTCTCTTTTCAGATCTTAAATTCAGCTCTCCCTATTTCCACATCAGTTTGCAGATTTTAAAAGAAAGTTCAGTAAAAATGGAGCAACATTGAAGGGGTGTCACCCTATCCCTTTTCACATGGAAGCCATAGAAGGAACTGCTGCAGGAGAGGGCCTGTGAGTAACATCATAAGAGGAGTGTTTCTAGGACGAAGGTGAAACTGCCTTGTTATTTTTGCTACTGGGTACTGCATGTTGTTTAAGTAGTCATCTTATATTTATAGTATTGAAGTGTGGGGTTTTTGCACGTTAATACTTTTGCTGTTATGAAATTGTTTCTGCAGTGTTTGTTTAAAATGTCTTCCTGATTTCTTTTTTTATTGCAAGCCATTTTGAGCATGATTTTTATTTGTAGAAAAGTGGCATAGAAATTGAATGAAAAAAATTGTCAATATTTTAGTGCGAATGACACCCAATATACTTTTTATGTGTGCAGTTTTGCCTAATAGATGTGTTTTCAAAGGATCTTTAATGTTCATTTCACTCATTTATATGCATACTTTACACATAAGCATTTCTGTAGTCATAACTTGACTGGAAAACTGCATTGCAAAATTTGTATCAGTTTTGAAGGAAGTATTGATTCAGGAAGTGTGAATTAGATAGGCTCGCCTCTAAATACAAATGGAATCAAATGTCTCACACGTCCCTAGTGATGATCCTTCATGGATATAGAAAGTGCTCATCTGCAGAACTTATCAGCCAGCACAAGAGTGTGGTGGCAAAGGCTGAGAACCTTTGTACTCACTTTGCCTCTCCATGCAAGAAATGACTGAAGAGAGTTTATTTCACTTCTTTCGTTCAGGAGACATGTTTGAGAGGAATCTTGCACCATCTGTGGCTCCCAAGACATAATTCGGCAACCACTGATGGTAGTTTTGCAGCTGGCTTGTGTGACTCTCGTCAGTTACACCATATTGGTAAAATTGAAACATGGGGAATAAAATGATTGTCGGAGTTTATAACAGCCGGGAAGATTTATTGCGGCTGCAGCTGGAAGTGTTACATCATGTCAGATGATAATTTGGCAATATAAATTATGAGTTAAAGGAGAATGTTAATTAAGAATTGCTAACTGTGCAGGAAATCATTATGTCTGACAGTGAGCAACTTCACGTGTCAGCATTTTGATTTTTTGTATCTGTAGACACCAGTGTTGTGGCTTGGAGAGAAAAATGATTAATTAGTACTTGTCGGCAATGATTTAACATTGGCAAGAATTAACACATTTCCTGGTAAAATGCTTAAAAATAACCGAGCTTCGCTACAGATGTCAACAGGCAACGTCTGTGCAAAATTGCGTCATGATAAATAGGAGAGACGACACTCGCAATGTGGTTCACCAAAACTATCAAAGGAAGGTATGTCACTGGATAATTGTGTGGCAGGGTTTCTCTCTCAATGAAATGGGAGATGGCAAAATATCCCACTTGTAAGACTTGTGAAGAATCAAGATATAATTGGTGCACCATTTGTTGT